TCCCCCATTCCACACTTCGACGAAGATGGCACGGAGGCGCTCCAGGACAATGGGCTCGTCGTCGCCGTCGACCTTGAGCAGTTCGGCGGCAAGGAGGTCGGGGCCAACCGCCTTCCAGTTCCCCAAACCTTTCGTTGCCACCTTATCCTCTCCGAGGTCTGGTACCGCCGCCAGGCGTCGGGTGGCGCGCGTCGCTGGTCGTTGCGTCACCTGTTCGACAACGTCTGGGTTCAGGGTGGGGGATTTGGAGTTCAGGAGGGTATCGAAGAATCTCCGCTACCGCTTGAGGATGGCATTCTTGTTCCGGAGCAGCACGCCGTTCTCATCTGTAACGAACTGCTGCCCCCCAGCTTGTCTCCCGCTGAGGCCCGTTGATCGCTTGAGGTCTTGGTACAGCCCCCGCATGTCGCGGTCCTGGTAAATCGCTTCGAGCTCCGTCACGTACCCTTCCAGGTGGTCGTAGACGCTCGTTCCGATTGTTGCCTTCACCCCCTTGCACGCTGCTTTGAGGATCCTCCACGTTGCTGCGTTCGGTCTGGCCTTGAAGGCATGCCGCGCCGCCCGTCGCTTGTCAAGGGCGGTCGCCAGGGCTGCCCGTGCCGCGGCGGTCATGTTCCATTCCGGGGTGCGCCGCCTCCGGGGTTCCTCAGACAGCTCCGTGTCCGCCGCGCCAAGCAGGACCTCCGTGAACTCCTTCGCCATTTTCTGAGCGGTGGTCGCCGGCGCGCCCGACCTCGCGAGCAAGTTGCAGATAAACCGTTGGGACACCGCCCATCGCGCTGCCTCGACCTGCAGATCCTGTCGGTTGAACTGCCGCCGTTTGGGGTTTGTCCGGATAGGTCGGTTGTGGGCCAGCCGATTGGGGCAGGCAAATATCGAATCTCCGTAGATTTCGGGACATCGGGCAGCCATGCCATCGAATATCCGTAGATGGTGACACCTCAGATATAGCCCCGGCGGAGATGTCCGCAGGGGGGTGTTGGGTTGACCTCGGATCACTCTGGCGCACTACCGGGCCGTTTGACCGGCTGGCCTCGAAGCACATGGTTTGAGTGCACCGCGCCTTCCGAGCCCCTGCTCTGACCGCACATTTGCCTTCGCCCCGTCCCTACTGCGTCCCTCTCGCTCTGTGGAGGAGATGCTTGGTGTGGTATTTTCCCGTCGAAAGAAAAGAAAAGGAACAAAAAGGGCCATCGACCAGAAACTGCAGCAGCCTGGTGCAGTAAATGGTTGTTGACAACGTGCATATACATGCGCGTTTACTATCTCCGAAAACTAGTCCTACTACAACTTCAAACGTGCTGATGACATGTCGTATCCCCAATACGAAAAACCAAAAATGGATCCTCACAGAGCGCAAGTTAGCAATGACAGTGGTTCAACTACTGTTCATAGAATTCATTTCTACCTTCTTTGTGAAATGTCCCCTGTCTGTCATGTATCCCCTTCCCCCAGTGGCATGCAGAGCCCTCTCTCTTTCGGGGGCTTCGCTTGCCTCACAAGGCATATGAAGCGAATTTCGGAGGCCCTGTCCGAGGTGAGCCTGCATCGTTTGTTCGCCCGCTTTTACGGATATGTTTGTTTTCAATCGTTTAATTTCTTGTGTTTTCTTCGTTCTGTACGTTTGCTCTGCCTTGCTTTGCTCTGCCGCACGATGACGTTCCTTGCTTTGCTGTGCTCAGTTTGTCTTGCCCTTGTCTGGGATTTCTCCATTGTAATCCTCTCTAGTTCGCTGCCCTCTGTGCCGGTTCGTTGTTCGTGTGCTCGGCGGAATACTAGCCATGCACGACTACGGCCTCGAAAGCCACCAACTCCACCATATGACCACGCTTGCCAATGTCGACCACACGTGACTCCCTTTCCCCTGCCAGGCGCTAGAGGGAGACCTACTGGACAAGAAGTCGCTCGGACTAGTGAACGCCTACCAGCCCTCGCTGACCTCGACGTGGATGTTCCAGAAGTCGATGAGCGTCGGGGTCGGAGAGAGGGTGGGCGCCAACCTCATCGTGGACCTCCTCGCGAACAACTTCAGGTCCATGGACAAGGTGAGGTTTTCTTCGTGATGTGTGCTACTGCTGTAGGCTGCACCGCCCCCCTGGTCTTTGGGGGAGATGTCGCACAAGGTGCTATGTAGACCCGGCATTGCTCACGTGTGGTGGTGGCGGCGGGTAAGTCGAAACAATTCAAGGGGGTCTGCAGACGAGATTTGGTGGGTTGCTAGGAATATGTCGCCGTGTTGTTTCAGAAAATTGTGTTTTTGCAACACTGACGCCATTTCCGCTTGCCGTGCTCGGACGTGCTGTTTCTTGGTGTATACGGTTGATGTGCAATGTTCTTTTCCCATCGAATTCGCGGTGAAGGAGGATTATGAGCACCCCAATCGCTTTTTCCTTCGATTGAGAGCCGCTCCCGCAGCATGAGATGACGCTTCGCGCCGTCCACCGACATCCTCCGCCGCACCCTCTCCCGCCGTCGTTCCGTGAACAATATAGCTGGGAAACCCGGTGCTGAAGCCCTTCTTGCAAGACGTGGTGCAGTTCGGACCTCTGGCAAGAGTGCTGGTCGGCGTTACCCTGGACGCCCCGTTGTCGATCCCGCCGCTGCTGCTGCACGTCGGGATCGTTCCACTGGCGGACTGGATAGGTGGGCGGTGTTTTGCTGAGGTGGTGTAGGTTGGTGCTCTTTGTAGTTGTCGCTGTTTCGACTGTTGTTTTGGCGACTTCTGTTGCCGGGCTCCTCTTCCTTTTTGGTGGCGGTGTTGGAAGCGGGAGGAGGTGTTAAAGAAGTGCTCTATGTACGTTAGGTTCTCCTAAAGCAGAAAGAAGCACGCGATCATGCCACGTGCAACAACGAGTAACTTGGTGCGGGAGTAACGGCAACTGTCCCGAACGTGCGTGACCGACAGATGTGGGGCACCTCCTCACACAGAATGCGCCACCAATTCTGAATGATGGAGTTAAGGAAGACTAAACAAGTGGCATGTGTTAACCCTCATGTGACTACACCGAATGAGATCCGATCCCAGCTCGGATCACTTTGCGTGCCGAAAGATCGCATGTGTGCCTCGCTCAAGAGAAAAATATCTACATTGGAGAACAGCAGGGAGACAAAGTGGCAGTCCACCCCAATAGCACGCTTATTCGCAATGCGCACAGGACACAAACTACCCTAACCTCTTTGATGTGGGGCAGATATCCTTTCGAGATCCAATCTACTGCCTACCGGTAGTGCGTAAGATCCAACGCAAAAAGCCACGGGGGGAGAGGGTACATACAGCACCCTCAACATGTGATCAACCCGGTGCCGCGTGCGCGGGGGAGAGCAGAGAAAACGCGTGTCGGAGCCGATGCTAACGTACTGCCTGGGTGCTTGCTGATGTTGTGATTGCGGTGCGTTGGTCCCCCGTATCGGGAGTGAAACGAGGTTCGTCTGCTGTGTGCAACTTTGACTTTTCACGACTACACCTCGGATCACACCTCCGATCACGGTTCTCTGTTTTTTGTATTCGCGATTTTTTTGCGTTTTGTGCCATAGTGGAATATGGTCCGGTTTGCTGAGTTGGCCGTTACTTTTGCATCGATTTGCCGCTTCTCTGAGGCGGTTTCCCGTCTCAGTATCTTCGCATCTAGCGCTGCCAGAATATGCGCTTGCCGTTTGCTCTGTCCAGGGATGAGGCAGAGAAGATGTGCCAGCAGGTATTGCTTCCACAGGCACATCCTCTGTGCGGATGGTTGCTGCTGTCGGAGACGGCATGCACATGCTCTCAGACTGTAGACTGCTGCTGCTGTGAGTTCCCCTCTCTCCTCATACTACTCCTATACTGCTGCCATACAGCAGTAGTACTACTCCTGTTCATCGCCCTCACATATGCCCGCGTCCCCATCTAGGTGAACCCCAAACATGGCTTCACTGCTGCACCATCCTTGCCGCCGTGCTTTGTGTGTGTACACGTATGCATGTAGGACCTTGGACCACAGAGAGCCATTTGAGGGCAAAAAAACCCAGAAAAACAAGCAGTCACGTAATGGTTAAGAGCTTGACCATTCGAACAGGTTTTCAGTCAAGAAAGCCTGTACTAATACCCACGTAGACGATGTTGGTTTGAACCACAGAGAACAACAACGAGCCTCGGGGCAAAAGAGGAAGTTGTTGAGTACTACTGATGACGCTATAATACACCTCGGAATGGACCACGCAATGCAGAGCACAGACCATGCACTACACGACCGCCCTGCTGTTTGTATAACTGAAGATTTTATACTGGCGAGCCGATTGGTCCCACCCATGCCGTGACTGTGATGGTTGAGAAGAAAACTCAACACGCGAGGCGCACTTACCCTACGCTCGCCCCCCGCGCTCGCGTACGGTACGCAGGGCACTTCTTCAGCATGGGTCTTTACTCCGCTCTCCATCGACTTGCCGGGCCCTGGCTGCGAAAACGCCTCCCGAAGATGTCCAAGGAGGACCGCTACCGCTCGTCAAGGCTACTGGACGCCTGGGAGTACGGCAGCGGTTCCGACTACCGCTACGAGGGGCCGGGCTCGACATAGATGAGAGTAGGCGGAACAAGCTTTAACGCAATATTTTAGCGGACACGGAGAGCCAGTAGAGACAGGTCGAAGGAGGCTGGGATGTCGCCCTCGTTGTCTGCGGCACCCCCAGCGCCTTTCGTGTGTAGCGATAGCGGCTGCGGCTACTGTTTCGAAGAGACCGGCTGGTATGAGAAGATGCCCGGGCGAGGGATGACATGGTGTGGATGGGCCTGATGGCCTGCTTTTAGACGTGTGGCAAAGTTAGAGGCTTGAGCCTGCCGTATGCTGGGGAGGGCTACTCGTCGGGTAGTCTACTTACAGAGAGTGAGAGAGAGCGAGTGGCAGTTTTTCGGGACGGGGAGGACCTTTTGGCTATCACGCCTGTGCTGTAGGTGCCGCGATGAGCCTTCACTCTGTTGTAGGGCAGGTCGAACGGATTTGCAGCAACGGGTTTCCGGGTGTGCTGCTGTGGCACGGAGACTGGTGGAATCCATGGTTTGGGGTGTGGAGATAGCGGTCACACAGTGACATCCACGTTCACTACGGAGTTTATCGACGAACGCCTTATGGCCATGAGGTTTCTGTTGGCAGGCCACCGTGGAGGGGTCAACTTCGTAGCCGCGTATGCTCCAACCGAACCTTCAACCGCGACAGCAAGCGCGTGTTCTGGGGAAAACTTGACTGTCTCGTGCGGAGGATCCCTTCCAAATATTGTGTGTATGTCATAATGGACGCCAACGCGCGGACGGGAGATAGGTTGGACGGAGGGGACGGAAAGGCAACAGGAATGTACGGGCGTGATGAGGTCAACGACAATGGCATACTACTGTTGAATTTCGCAACGGAAAACAGGCTAGCTCTCGCGAACACGTTCTTCGAGACACGCAAGGGCGGAATATGGCACACATACAACGGTGTGTCGGGAAACGATTGTAAGCGCCTTNAATGGACGCCAACGCGCGGACGGGAGATAGGTTGGACGGAGGGGACGGAAAGGCAACAGGAATGTACGGGCGTGATGAGGTCAACGACAATGGCATACTACTGTTGAATTTCGCAACGGAAAACAGGCTAGCTCTCGCGAACACGTTCTTCGAGACACGCAAGGGCGGAATATGGCACACATACAACGGTGTGTCGGGAAACGATTGTAAGCGCCTTGACTACATCCTGACAAGGCAGGCACATCGCGGCCGAGTATCTAACGTGGTTGTCATCCGCCATCCGGTTCGCCCAGTCAACGCAGACTCAGACCACAATATGGTAGTAGCCACCGTCAATCTCGGTGGCAGGCTTGCCCACAACCGTGCAGTCCGGACTAAATCGAAACAGAAGCAATTCAACCGACGGGAAATGCAATTCGAAGCAGCACGGTGTGCGGTGACTAATCGGTTCCTCCTCAAATCTCGACACACGACTGGACGAGCGAACAACCACCGCCGCGGAATTGGCGACCGACTCTACCAATGCTCTCCTCGAAGCAGCGCGGACGACGCTAGGGGAGGAACCGCGGAGACGCCGCATGCAGGAGTGGTGTGAGACCCCAGAGACGAGAGCAGCGCTGGAGCAGGCCCTTACCAAACGGCAGGAGGCGCGCCGGGCGATGGGGGGCAACTGGAACTCAGCAACGTGGAGGATTCTCAAAGCAGGGTGTGTGTAAGGAAGTGGCTACAGCAGTCAAACGGGCATGTGTGCCACCTGGACGGATATGTGACTGAACTCGAAGAAATCTACAAAGATCGCGACATGCGAGGACTGTACAAACACCTCAAGAGATCAGTGGGCCTCAGCGGGAGACAAGCGGGGGGACAGCAGTTCGTCGCGGATTAGAACGGCGTGTTGCTTCGGAACAGGGACGACAACCTCCAGCGGTGGGCGAGATTTTTCAGCACCTTACTCAACACCAAATTCCCCACCCTGAACCCAGACATCATCGAACGAGTGACGCAGCGGCCAGCGACACGTGACACTCAACGGTTGGGAGAAGTGCCAGACCTCGAGGAGGTGGCACGGGCAACGAAATGCCTCAAGAACTGGAGGGCACCCGGTTATGACTCCCTCCCTGCCGAGTTGCTCAATATCAATGTCGACGAACCCTTCGTCCTGGGACACCTCCATACCATCCTCGTCAAGGTGTGGAACGGAGGAGATATCCCGCGAGACTGGAAGGATGCAACCATCAAGGTGCTGTACAAGAAGAGAGCCCGGTCCAACTTCAACAACTACAGGGGGATTTCGCTACTATCTCACGTAGGCAAGGCCCCCATCAAGATCATCACCAAACGTTTAAGCGCCTTCCGCGACGAACAGCATATCGACGGTGGATCGCCCGGGTCGAAATCCGCGAAACTGGAAGGATGCAACCATCAAGGTGCTGTACAAGAAGGGAGCCCGGTCCAACTTTAACAACGACAGGGGGATTTCGCTACTATCTCACGTAGGCAAGATCCCCATCAAGATCATCACCAACCGTCTAAGCGCCTTCCGCGAAGCCAACAACATCCTCCCGGAGGGACAGTGAACAGACTTGCGGGAAAAATGGGAACGTATCCAAAAATGAGAATGGGCGTTTGTTTTTAGAAAGCAAACCACGCCTTTGCAACTCCCCCCAAAAAAGTTGACAGTGCTGTAGGTCTTTACAGCAGCTTTCGAATGAGCTGTTGCTCAAGCTGTATGTCCTCGGCATCGCCGAGGTAGCCAGCATCGCGAGAAATCAGGTCGAAACCAGCACGAATCACTTTTTGCGCCCGTGAGAAGGCGTGATGTGGAGCATGGCGATTCTGATGAGCTCATCTCACATCTCACAGCTGAGGCGAAGGGGTTTCGCAGGATAATTTTGGTTCTGTGATACACCCGATGGTTCTGAAGAAAAACGCCAATTCTCATTTTTGGATACGTTCCCATTTTTCCCGCAAGTCTGTTAGTGCAGATTTCGACCCGGGCGATCCACCGTCGATATGCTGTTCGTCGTGCGTCGCCTCCAGGAGCTGGGGCGGAGAAAGAAGATACCGCTCTACATGTGCTTCGTCGACTTGAAAAGGCGTATGATTCGGTGGACCGAGAGGTGCTGGCCAGGGCCGGGGTTCCCGCGAAGCTGATCGAAGTCATCCTCCACTTCCACGATGGAATGCCGGCCCGAGTGCGCATGGACGACGGAGAACTATCGGACTGTTTCTTCGTGACACAGTGCGTGCGACAAGGATGTGTGCTATCCCCACTGCTGTTCAACATCTTCTTCGCCGAGGTCCTCGAGGTCGTTGTCATCCGATTCAACGAGGATGATGTTCTGCAGATCCTGGTGTGCTTGGAGGAGGGGAAGACGGAAGCCCAGGGGGGGGAGGAGACACCCCTTGACCGAGTACGGAGGGCAGAATAGGGTATGCTGTATGCCGATGATGCCGGCATCGTATCGAGGTCTGCAGAAGGACTGGCGAGGATGATGATGTTGAGGTGTTCGGGGAGTTCGGGCTGACGGTGTCGGAAAAAAAGACGGAGACGCTCCTGATGAGCGCGAAGGACAAGCCGACTACAACATCACGGCCCCCCCCGCCTCCACCGCTGACCATCGAAGCCGCGGGACAAAAATACGCCCAGACGACCGACTTCCGGTACCTCGGTGGCCTCGTCAACGAACATGGCGACCTCACCCGGGAGATCAACTACAGGAGCAGAGGAGCGTGGGCGTGCCTCAGGCGATATGGCCGGGAGCTCTTCGACAGACCGCAAGCGCCATTCCGACTCAAGATCCGCCTGCTCCAGGCGGAGGCGATGGAGGCGCTGCTGTACGGCTGCATGACATGGTCACCACTCAGCGGCCACTATCAGACGCTGCGATCGATACACCACCGACTGCTCCTTCGAGTTATTCGGTACAAGCGCAAGAAAGACGCATACCGGCAGCTCTCTTACGCCCAGACGCTGAAGAGGGTCGAATGCCAGAGCGTTGAAGCCACGATCTGACAACGACGCCTACTGTTCGCGGGAGCATTGGCAAGGCAGCCGGACGGGCGACTCCCGAAACGACTGATGTTCGG